CACCTTCTAACAGAGCCCCCCCACATATCAAATCCCAATTTAACCCCTGGCCTCTGGAGCAGAAATGAAAGAGTTTTAAAAATGTTTACGTTTTGGTAAGTTTTTAGGGAAATGTTGTAATATTGCAACGTTGGCCTTAGGTGGGAGCAGAATTTCTGTATTTCTACTCACATTGTCTGAATAAATATATTGAACAACTAAGGGTTAATTTGCAGGATTGATTGCTTACTTAGCCCTATATCAGTATATAGCATGAATAATAATCACACATCACTCATATTTGTTATGAATAATCATTTATCATTTATTAAATAGTAAGTCGCTTTGGATAAAAGCGTCAGCTAAATGCAATTTATGAAAGCCTCACTGAGGATTTTTTTACCAAGTGTTTTTATTGCTCTTGGGGCATTAAAAACAAGATTTTAACTTTAGTTTTTTTATATAATATCTGCATTTTCTCTTGTGAAAAACTAAGTCTTAGTTTGGCCATAGTTATTTAATATATAAAGACTATATATTATTGAATTACAAGATTAGATATACTTCATTTGATCTAAAATATTGATGTGTTCAAATGCTCTTCTAAACAAAACTGAAAGTCCATGAAAGTTGTCTTCCTGTTTTTGTGAAGGAAGCGCCATCTCCTGGTTAAATCCTGAAATTGAAAATCTGGCAACGCCCTCTTGGAAAATAGTGGGAGGGCTTAACATTCCCAGATACTGGTCTTTGGCAGGTCTTAGGCAGGTAACTGGCAGGTAGTAGGCAGGAAGCAGTAAGCTGGAGTCTGAAATAAGATGCTCCATCTGTATATATACATACTGTGAATAGCAGGAGATAATTCATGTTTACAGCCTGGTTTAAAAAAACGCTATTTTCTCCATTCATAACAACTTCAGTCTCAGTTTAGTGTCTGTTCTGCCTCACGTCTCCAGACCTCCCACCACTTCGCCCATTTCACAGACTGCTGGCGGCTCTTTGACCTCACAAAGGCTCCTCAGAAACAATGTCCATATTCCATAGAGTCTATAGTATGAACATAGTATGGACACTTGATCACAGCAGCCTATAACTCATGCATTTGAACATGATTCACGATGCTTAAGTTTCAGTCCACTGTGTGATGGTTTCTGAACTGGTGGATAAGTCGCGTTTCACCCGGAGTAAACTTCAGGACGCCGAGTCACCGCGCTCACAGTGAGGCTTTGTTCAGGCAGGTCGTGTCCTCGATGAATGAGAAAGATCTGGAGGAACTGCAGTGTCCTCCTGTGATCCCCAGGCATGATGTGATCTGTGGAAAATATTTGAAAAGAGAGAATTCTTGTTTATGAATTTAAGGCCATAAGAAACCATAAGGGATGGTGATAGAAGACACTGAGAAAAAGAAGCTTGCATTAGTGTCTCTATGAAAGCCCCTCTCTCTCCTGAAGTGTCCGGTCGTGGTGAGGAAAAGAAAAAACCGACGAGAATAAATATGTATTTTTTATTTGTTCTGGTTTTGCTTCCTTGGCCAGTAGTAATTTATGACTTGTGTTATTGTCTCTAAAGGTAAATAAAAGCATGCATTAGTGTCTCTTTTATTATTGTCTCTCCAAAAGCATGCATTGGTGTCTCTATGAAAGCTTGAGAGAGACACGGCTGTACTCTTCCCTCATTCTTAAGGCGGTTAAAAGTCTCTGTAATATTTCCAAAACGTGGTTATGTGTGTCAAAGTGTGACCCGGTGTGACCCTTCCCCCCCTCCCCTCCCCCCATCCTCTCTGTCCTGAAGTGTCCGGTCGGGGTGAGGTCGCAGCACATTGGTCTTATTGTCCTCGTCCCTCTGTCTCTGCTGCGTTCAGGGACTGTGGGAGAAACGACTCACTGCAGAGCGAGGCTGTGAGGCTGTGAGGATGACGAGTGATGAAGAGGAGATGATGATACGATGATTTATGGCTTTCATGCAACCAAAGAAGAAGAAGTGGATCAAATCTGATTCTGCAACCAGGTAGGACAATGACTATTAAAACATCACATCATCTGTAACCAACTTTATTATGACCATCGTTAATAAACATTCGATTAACTTTACTTATTTTACTTTATCAAAGAATACAATTACATTCATATATATGCATTGTCTTTAAATTAATCATATATATCTATACAGAATAGTAACCAATTGTTGACCATTAAGAAAGTATTATTATCTAAATAAAGGGGTATACATTTGAAGATTTCTAATTGTGTCAAATAAAAAAAATCCTATACAGAAAAACGATAAATGTATTTTTACTATCATTAATATATATATATATATATATATTTATTAATTAATTATTAATTAATTAAAAAGACCAGAAACCAATTGTTGACCATTAAAAAGGTATTGACATCTTAATTAAGGGTATTTATTTTAATATGACATATTTTTTTAAGTAATGCCTTTTAACTGTATTATTGCTATTTATTACTTTTATAAATCTTTCTATTCTTTATATTTATTTACTTTTGTACTCATTTCATTAAAGGAGGGGGAATGCATTTGTATATTTATTTTTGTGTCAAAGAAAAATAAATCGTATACATATATCTCTCAAAAATAATAAAAGAAATTAATATTATTACTTTTTACATTATACAGATAAATAAAAAATAAAAAAAAATAATTAATTAACTATACAGACCAGAAACCAGTTAATGACCATAAAGAAGGTTTTAGCTATCTAAATAAAGCAGGGGTGTCAAACTCAAATACACAGCGGACCAACATTAAATGGGTACTAGTGGAGGGCCGGACTGGTTCAATGTTTATTGCAGAACTTATTGAAATGAACCTATTGCACATATTAAACCTGGAACTAACAAAGCTTAAATTATTGCCTATAAAAACAACATTACACATTAAATAATCAGTTGCATTCATTTCTTATGGCTCGATCTGCAGCTCAGTCATTTCTTATGATTACATTTTCCCACAGGTCAACAACAGCTTCAAGAAAACTATTTCCCTCAAAGAACAAACCAAACATGCCCTGTTGTCGTGAGAGAGAAAGTGCAGAAGGAAACATCCATGTAAACTCAGTGTGCTGCTCTGTGATGCTAGCTCAAGCCAGATACTTGGCATCTCATCTTGGGTGCAAGTTCATCAATGTTTGGGGTCAGGCTCTGAGCTGAGGAAACCCTCAGGGTTGAGTGAAGGTGTGCGTGCAATATACCGGCGGGCCAGATCTAATAGTAATTTAAAATTATCCTGCGGGCCTTGAGTTTGACATGTGTGCTTTAAAGAGTCAAAATGAATCCAATGTTTATATTTCTCAAAAATAATAAAACAAAATAATATTATTACTTTTTAAATTGTAAAAAAATGTAAAGAAATGAAATAAGAAATAGATTAAAATCGATGAACTCATTTGTGTGTGTGCACCTATACCTGTATGCGTTTCAGTCAAATTCATATTTATTTTATTTTATTCTATAAACTACTACTTCTGGAATTCAACAGACACGGTAATGGAAGGGCTGCCATACATGTAGAGATTGAGATTTAACCTGTTAAGCCTGATTGACCCTGATGGCCTGCGTGTGCATCACTCTCACTCCTCAAAGGTAATGTTTAGATGGATTTTAGGAACCTCCCCTCGATTCTATTGGCTCTAGCGGTTCAAAAGAGGTGTCAATCATCAAAGTCGACCGAAAATCCACCCAAATGACCCCAGAGGTGGGTTGTTGTTTCTAAACCTCTCTAAAAAGGTCAAATGTCACTTGTTTTGCATCAATCTTGATACAGGGTACTTATTATATGTTATAGTTTGGATTCCTAAAGCTTTGTATACTATCCCTTCATTCAAGGGTGGTTTTCACTATAAGTAGCCTAATGTTTTCTTTTGGACGGACACTATCATTTACATTTTTTTTACTATGTTCAATCTGAATTTACTTCTGTATTGATTCTGACTTTTCTACAACTCACAGGTTTATCATTGCTTTGAGAAAAAAGATTATTAATTTTCCCCTTTTAGAAGATATAGTCATTTGTTCTGGGAATGTCATTTCGATACCTGAAAAACAGGCTCAGGGCTCAACAGGTTAACTGGGGGGTAATAACTTCAATGCATGTTTTTAACTAAAGTCCTAACCGTGCATCTTAATGTGTGACGGAGTATGTTGGGCTCCGACCACAGGGTGCCGCTTCCTGCACAAACAGGAAGTAGAACATATTTATAGAAATGAGACATATTTGTGGTGAATGTTGTCATCCAATAAGTCGTCACAATCAAGAAATGCATCTTGATTATATATATATATATAATATTATATATTATTCAAATATAGCATGATAGGTCCACTTTAAGTAAATAGATAAATACATTTGTTAGCTAATTTCATCTAATTTCATCTTTCATGATGACAACTGTTTGGTTTAAAGTAAAAGAAAATGCAATAGAAGAAAAATTATATATTAAAAAAAAGAATATATATATTATTAAAAAAATACAATATAATGTGTATATTGTACGATATATAAACAATAAACATGTAATTATTTAAAAATAAATAATATAACACAAGAAGAAGAAGTTAAATTAAAATGTGTATATTGTTAAAATAATAAATAAATAAAAATGGTTATACAATTATTTTTAAATACTCTTCAGATTAAACAAATTCTATTTAAAAACCCAACTTTACAGAGGACTCAAACATGTTTAACTCGAAAAACAAGGATTTCCGTGTTTAAAGCTAATTCCTTCTTTCATGCGGCTTCTTCTAAGGAAACTAAATAATAAAACCTCAGAGCCGTCCGTATCTCTCCTCCTCCTCGGGCAGTGTTTCAGACTCTGCCCACAGGCTGTGCTTCCTGCATTCTCCGGGGCGTGTGCAGGCGGGTCTGTGAAGCAGGAAGTGTGTGTGTGTGTGTGTGTGTGTGTGTGTGTGTGTGTGTGTGTGTGTGTGTGTGTGTGTGTGTGTGTGTGTGTGTGTGTGTGTGTGTGTGTGTGTGTGTGTGTGTGTGTGTGTGTGTGTGTGTGTGTGTGTGTGTGTGTCAAGAAGGTGTGGTCTGCAGGTGGGTTGCAGATAAAGACAGATCAGATCCTCCTCCTCTCTGTTTCAGCCTCAGACCATGACGACGCTAACTCCTCTGCTGGGGATCCTGCTCCTGAACGCCTCTCTGCTCCTGAACGCCTCTCTGCAGACCTCAGGTGAGTCTCCTGTTACCTGCTCTCTGCACAGCTGATTAATAACTAAACTCTCTGTGTGTGTTTGTGTGTGTGTGTGTGTGTGTGTGTGTGTGTGTGTGTGTGTGTGTGTGTGTGTGTGTTCATTCAGAGCTCTGTCACTCGCTGCTTCTCTATGCATGAAGGAAGGAACAGTACTTTTTGAATTGAAAAGTGTGTAGCCTCTTTAAAACCTTAAATGCAAAGGAAGTTCATTTTTTAAAGCACATTTTAAAAAGAAGGCTGAACTCAAGGTGCTTTACCGAAAACTAAAGAAGCATTAGGACATTTAAAAACAGCCGAGAATACAAGAGAAAACATGCTAAGACAGAGACAGGCAGGTTTAAAATACAAGAATGAAAGGGAAGTGTGTGATATTTTAGGTTTTTGATTATTAGAAGGTAGCAGCAGAACAGAAAAGGATTTAAAAGAAGTGAACGCTGCCGTTTTCTGGGGGTTTGTTCCAGATATATGGAGAATAATAAACTGTGAATGTGGAGACTCTTAAAAGCCTTAAAGGCAAGGGCGACAGAAACATATTGAAAACATGTTTAATTACACTTATTGAGTATAATAATAACGGTTTATTTTAGACAACATGTGATTTAGAAATGCTCAAATGTGCCTAGTAGTAGAACGCAGTGTACTGTAATATGTGTATATTCAGATGTAGTACTTCTTCCTCAACTACTGTACTTTAATTGACACGTACATGTATTTAACTTCACATTTTATGCAACTTTATACGTCAACCACATTTTGGAGTCAAATATGATCTATTTACTACATGTATTGACCACTCATAGTACTCATATTTCACATAATACACGTCTATGTGATACCATGCAAGTATTATATAAAGTGTCTCAAACTGACAATATTGAAATGACACAACGTCATACTGTAAAAAGAGACATTGTGCTTGATGAATACTTTGCATACTTGAAGCTCATGTAGCTGATTTAGCCTGTCTACTGGTAATGACATATTTAAAGATCATAGTATATCTACTTCTGAAAGTACCTGGTTTTAAATCCTGTAATTTATAATATCATTGTTCTGTCTTTACTTTGTAAACACAGTGTCTAATAACGCCTCATAAGCAAATAAAAACTCAACAGGAAATGCCTTTATTGTGACACAGCGTGGTATCATAACAGAGCGTCCGGTCTACCTGAGGACAGGTGACCATGACTCAGGGAAGTTAGTCATTTCCTCTCCGGCTGGTTTGCTAACAGGGAAACACCGGGATTAGTAAAAACTGTTTTTGTACAGATGAGCTGGAGGACGTCAACAAGCATATTAGGAAAGCACATTTCAACATTTCAAAAATCAGGAACAACAAAACTGAAGCACGTAGTCGTGATATTTTCACACGGTCTTATTAAGAAATAAGAAAAGTTACAGTGGAATATTACACTAAACCAGCGGTTCCCAACCTGTGGGCCGCGGCCCCTTAGTGGTCCGCGAAGGCATTGCAAATGGTTCGCCAAATCATTTGCAAAACATTATGATGTGTGTGGAAACATTTAGTAAATATTAAGATTTGTTTTCCTTTTTCTTTCTTGATCCTCCTTAGCAACGGTCATTATAGCCCTTGACAGCGGTCTGTACTACTGGATTAACAACGTGTCACATGTTCTGAATTGACCAATCAGAATCGAGTATTCAACTAAACCGTGTAATACTATTTCTGTTTGTTACTGATAGCCAGCTCCATTTCTAATTAAAATAAAAAGTACTCTGAGAACTTTATTTAGCCTCCGTCTTGTTTATGGTTGAATGTGGGCCGCACATTTTAGTTTTTCCCTCTCCTGTAGTGTGGTATATAGGTTTTAGTGCATGTAAATGGTCTGCAAAGGCTAAAATCCCTGTGTTCCCTCCACTCACTCCCCCCCTGCCTGAAATGTCTCCATTGGCTCCTTTGTTTACTTCCTGAACATAGTGACATCACTATGTAGCACTTGCGTTTCTATTGGCTAGCGCTCCAACACATTGTACGTGATAGGCTAAGGGGCGGGACATCTCTAAGCTGGTTGACCAATCACAACAGAGCAGGCCAGCTAACCAATCAAAGCAGACTGGGCTCTTTTGTCAGACAGAAGGTAAAAAGACACATAAATAAATAGCATAATAGGCCCCCTTTAAATACTGTTCCTGAGGGAAAACACAAGTGAACTAATGTATTTTTGTACACAAATTAAACCAAGCATACAAAAGGAAGATATAAGACCTTAAAATGAAACCCCCGCCTGCTGTGGTATAAAGAGTGTGTTTAACTTGTTTAGTGAGATATTAAAGCTCACAAAGCCTTCAGTGTTCCTGCTGATAAAGTTATCAAAGAACTCCTTCACTGGTAACAGGTTACCATCACAGAGAGCTGTGTTGATGTGTGCACACTTCGTAATCATGAGCCATGGTTTGGTAACAGAGTCAACAGAACATCCCATAATTACCTTGAAGGTTGGTCACACAGGTGTAGGAGCTAAAGGCAGAAAAACACCAGGGGATACAGCTTAATGTGTTTCTGTGTTGGACCCTGAAGGCAGCATCTCTCTGGTTCAATCGGATGTCTCCATTGGATGTTGGAGTATTGCAGAAAATAATCTCTGTGGCAAACTCTAGTTATCTTGTTTACAAGGATAATCTCCACATATTAACACTACGCTCTGATTTTTGAAGTAAAGAGCTAACATTAGGCTACAAGGAACTACAGCACGGTCACTTGACTTCACATCACCACCGCTAAGCTAAAGGTGGCTAATGTTGGGCTATAAAGGAACTACAGCACGGTCACATGACTTCACGTCACCACCGCTAAGCTAAAGGTGGCTAATGTTGGGCTATAAAGGAACTACAGCATGGTCACATGACTTCATGTCTCCACCGCTAAGTTAAAGGTGGCTAATGTTTTTAAATTCACCAGTGGGATATTTACTGACGTATTTTATGTAGTAAAACAAAACAGTAAAATCTCTTCAGCTTGTGATAACCACAGACCTTATTTCAAAATAACAAGCAAAAACACATTCAAAAAACGATTGACTCCCAGACCAGGGGACAGGAAGTAATAAAATACTGACTTCCATCAAACATTAATGTAATCAATCTTCTTATTCATATCTGGAAATGACATGCGTTGATATGACAGAGGTGGTGTTAAAACCACTGAAACCAAATGCATATTTGTAACGGATCGAATGGAACAAATGATTAACTTCCTGTGATTGGTCACACACCAGAAACAAGGCTGTGATGAACACATTTAAAGAGGCCCTATTATTCTCATGTTCAGGTGTATATCAGTATGTAGTGTCTCTGCTTGAAAGAGTCCTCTCCTGCTGATGTTCAGGTGTATATCAGTATGTAGTGTCTCTGCTTGAAAGAGTCCTCTCCTGCTGATGTGCAGGTGTATATCAGTATGTAGTGTCTCTACTTTAAAGAGTCCTCTCCTGCTGATGTTCAGGTGTATATCAGTATGTAGTGTCTCTACTTTAAAGAGTCCTCTCCTGCTGATGTTCAGGTGTATATCAGTATGTAGTGTCTCTACTTGAAAGAGTCCTCTCCTGCTGATGTGCAGGTGTATATCAGTATGTAGTGTCTCTACTTTAAAGAGTCCTCTCCTGCTGATGTTCAGGTGTATATCAGTATGTAGTGTCTCTACTTTAAAGAGTCCTCTCCTGCTGATGTTCAGGTGTATATCAGTATGTAGTGTCTCTGCTTTAAAGAGTCCTCTCCTGCTGATGTGCAGGTGTATATCAGTATGTAGTGTCTCTACTTTAAAGAGTCCTCTCCTGCTGATGTTCAGGTGTATATCAGTATGTAGTGTCTCTACTTGAAAGAGTCCTCTCCTGCTGATGTGCAGGTGTATATCAGTATGTAGTGTCTCTACTTTAAAGAGTCCTCTCCTGCTGATGTTCAGGTGTATATCAGTATGTAGTGTCTCTACTTTAAAGAGTCCTCTCCTGCTGATGTTCAGGTGTATATCAGTATGTAGTGTCTCTACTTTAAAGAGTCCTCTCCTGCTGATGTTCAGGTGTATATCAGTATGTAGTGTCTCTACTTTAAAGAGTCCTCTCCTGCTGATGTTCAGGTGTATATCAGTATGTAGTGTCTCTACTTTAAAGAGTCCTCTCCTGCTGATGTTCAGGTGTATATCAGTATGTAGTGTCTCTACATGTCTCCATGCTTTAATGTTCAAAAAGCTCTTTATTTGTCTCATAGTGCCTGTGCTGCAGCACCTCTTTTCACCCTCTGTCTGAAACCAGAGCCCAGTCTGCTTTGATTGGTTAGCTGGCCGGCTCTGTTGTGATTGGTCAATTAAAAGTAATGTGTTGTATCTCCACAGACAGCCATGGTCGTGACTTCGAGGAGGTGAAGGACTACGAGGTGGTCCGACCTGTCCGACTTCACGCTGTCAGAAAAAGAGACACAGAGGTATGTTCTTCCTTATTTCTTATCTTAGTGTCACAGAGACACGTTTGTGCTCTTCTTGAATGCACAAGTTACGTAAATGACATGTAAATAATAATAATACTTTATTTGTTGCAGCATCTCAGGCCGGAGAGTATAAAGTATGCAATGACGGTGGGAGGAAGAGACATTGAGATGCACCTAGAAAAAAATAAGTAAGTTATTATTTCACATGTTTCAAAAGACAAATACATCATGGTAATAAAGCCGACATTTCAGGTAATCATACGGTGGCCCTGAAGGTAAAAAAAACATATTATTTTGCAAACACTAAAACATTTCAACAATTCTGAAACAGGAAAACTATCAAAAAACTCAAACACATTTAAAAAAAACACTAAAATATTTCACAAAACACACAAAAATATCACAAAAAAGCAAAAGAAGAAACCGGATAACGTAAACTCATTTTGGACACCATTTTTTTGGTGTTATGACCTTTAAGGCCACCGTACTGTAATCCTCAGCTAAACACCTTAGTAAATGTTGTTATTTACGCTATTGAGCATGAGCTGTCAGAATAAAGTATTAAAAAAAGCTGCTTCACTTCATCTTAAAGCCTGAGAAAGGAAGTCTGTCTAAAGGAGTTCCTGGTTTTACTTCTCCTCTTATTATTCACACGATTTGTGTTTTTATGTCTTTGGCTTCCTGTTTGACAAACTGAAGGCAAGGTTATTACTTTAGATATACCCATGTGCAAAATATATGTTATGTTGTATTTTCAGAGGTGGAGAAAGTACACAGTTCTTTAATTATATCATAAGATACTTATTTTAGTGCTAATTCCACACTGTGAATACAAGATACAAGATAAAGTCCGCAACTGAGAATGTTTCTTACGTAAATGTATGAACTGTGGGTTACAATCATAGTTAGTAGGCAATGTAGAAATATGTCCTCTGTGACTGATATACTGGTAGATATTATATCCTTAGATTATCATTATTTTCTCTTATAGTTGATAGATTGTTTTGTAAAAAATAGTGAAAATAGTGAAAAATGCCATTAGAATTATACCCAGAGCCTAAATAGGACAATTTCACGACGATGATTTATCAAAACAACAGTCTAAAACTCAAAGGAAATACATAAATCTCTATATTTCTGAAGTTGGAACCATGTTATCTATTTCAATTAAAAATAACTTGGAGAAATGTCAAAGAAATTGCCTTTAAAGTCACATTTGGACATGTTTTCATTGCAAAAATCAACATTTCAAAGTAACTAATCATGTGAAAAGTAATAACTTGCTCCAAAATATTGTGGAGAATAAGTAGAAACTGACATGAGAGGAAAAAACTCAAGTAAAGTACCTCAAAATTGCACTATACTTTCCACTGCTTAGTTTCAAATATAACATTTATTTTGTTTTCACAGATCTTAACACTAGATAAATCAATAGCTTGACCACAGTTTAATTTTTATCTCGTTTCCTTCTCAGTGAATTATTACCCAATGACTACACGGAGACTATTTACCAAGAAGACGGGACTCGAGTCACCACAACTCCCACTGACATCGTAAGTGTTTGCATGTGTCAGCGAGTTTAAGTTCCCCGTACATAAGAAGAGGAAAAATAAATGTCTTATTCTAAAACCAGTCATCATGTCAATGTCTTCTCATCAGGATCACTGCTACTACCACGGGAGCATTTTGGACGACAGCCAATCCTCTGTCAGCATCAGCACATGTGATGGACTCAAGTGAGCTTTCAGACATTTCGTATATGGAGTGGTGCAGGAATGAGTCCTAAAACCCGGAAATTAGTTAGAATTTGATCACTTCCTGGAAGTCAGTGGTTTTCTGACTGTGAAGAGATTTTAACGATTTGTTCTACGACATAAAATACGTCAGTAAATACCCCACTGGTGGATTTAAAAACGGCGGTTGCTAACAAGTGTCTAAATGAGACGACTAAATGTCATCAAGCCCAACATTAGCCACCTTTAGCTTAGCGGTGGTGACGTGAAGTCATGTGACCGTGCTGTAGTTCCTTTACAGCCCAACATTAGCCACCTTTAGCTTAGCGGTGGTGAGGTAAAGTCATGTGACCGTGCTGTAGTTCCTTTATAGCCCAACATTAGCCACCTTTAGCATAGCGGTGGTGACGTGAAGTCATGTGACCGTGCTGTAGTTCCTTTATATCCCAACATTAGCTTTTCACTTCAGAAATCATAAAGTGGTGTTAATATGTGGAGATTATTCTGATGAACTAAATGTGTAAGAATCATAAACGTTGGTTTGAACCAGAGATTAGTTTCTATATTCTTTATTCCAGGCTAACAACCAAAATCACATTAAAAAAAACATTGACCTCCAGACCAGGGGACAGGAAGTGCTAAAACACTGACTCATTCCCATGTTTTAGGACTCATTCCTGCACCACTGTACAACCCAGTCTCAAGGCATTTCGTGTTATAGTGACGAAATTAATTTAATCTATTGATTCGTGTTCACCAACACGATTTTCGCATTTCTTTCGTGTCACACAGAACGATTTTAAATGCAATGTATTTCTATTGGTAGTATGTTTCGTGCCTGCAACACGTCTTTTTGTCCGGTCGGGTCTTGGAAGACCGGAAGCTGTGTGGTTCATAAAAACATGTTCTTACTCAATATCTTACCCTAAGCCTAACCCTTTTATTTTAAATTGTATAATGTCTGAGTTTTTTTGCCGTCCGCGAGGAAAATAAATGGCTCAGAGCCTCAGAATACTGAAATCTGTATTTTATGTAATCTTTTTTTTAATCTAATTTGTTATTATTTACATTGCTCAATCGTTCTGTGTGACACGAAAAAAATAGGGAAATCGTGTTGGTGAACAAATCTAATTTCGTGACTATAACACGAAATACCGTGAGACTGTGTTGCACTGTAGGGCTCCTTTAAAGTGGACCTATCATGCTATATTTGAATAATATATTGTAGGGCCATACCTATATAAAACATGTCTGTGAAGTTTTTTTTTCAAAATACCAAACAGATCATGAATTTTAGCCATGCCTCATTTCGCTCTATTTGCTCTTTTCCAGCCCTGTTTTTGCAAGGGCTGATTCTGTGAGAAGTCTTCTTCGCTGCTTTTGTGGCAGACTACAGCGCCACTTACAGGCCTGGCATATGTACTACAGCGTCTCCAGCGCTTTCGAGTGGCAATGGCCGTGGCCGTGACCCAACCCCCCATTCCCCTGATAGGTGGAGAGTTGCCCATATAGGCGGAGCTCCCCGTTTCTGACGTCAGAACAATTTCAAATCTGTATCAGCTCCGTTGCAGCCCCGTTTTTAGAGATTTGGGTATGGAGGAAAAGAGAGAGGGTTGTGTTTTCTGACACTTGGTGAGTTCCCTGGAACACCGGGGACACATATTCATGTATAAAAGACGTACAAAAGTGCATTTTGCATGATAGGTCCCCTTTAAGTCTTTATCTTCAATGCATGGTAGCTTTCCTGAAATCGAATAAGAAACAGGTTTCCTGGTGTTTCAGGGGTTACTTCCGGACGTCTGAACAGAGGTATCTGATCGAGCCGCTGTCCGGTGGCGATGAAGGGGATCACGCCGTGACCACCTTTGACGACAGGAAGTCCCCCCCCGCAATGTGTGGGGTCACCAACACCAGCTGGAGCGAGGACTTTGAACCGCCAACCAGCCGCAGCCGCTCCAGATCTGCGGTAACAATCAATCTGAAGGAAACATTCTACATGTAGACTTTCATATCATGAGCAGACTGGAAACATATGACAGTTTTACAACTTATTATTATTACAATAAAACCAAATATTTGTAGATCTTTTTGTTCTTAGGCCAAAATAACAACCTATAGCCTTTTACACAAACATAGTAGAGCCACTAAATACTGATATACACCTGAACATCAGCAGGAAAGGACTCTTTAAAGTAGAGACACTACATACTGATATACACCTGAACATCAGCAGGAGAGGACTCTTTAAAGTAGAGACACTCCATACTGATATACACCTGAACATCAGCAGGAGAGGACTCTTTAAAGTAGAGACACTCCATACTGATATACACCTGAACATCAGCAATAGAGGACTCTTTAAAGTAGAGACACTACATACTGATATACACCTGAACATCAGCAGGAGAGGACTCTTTAAAGTAGAGACTCTACATACTGATATACACCTGAACATCAGCAGGAGAGGACTCTTTAAAGTAGAGACACTACATACTGATATACACCTGAACATCAGCAGGAGAGGACTCTTTAAAGTAGAGACACTCCATACTGATATACACCTGAACATCAGCAGGAGAGGACTCTTTAAAGTAGAGACACTCCATACTGATATACACCTGAACATCAGCAATAGAGGACTCTTTAAAGTAGAGACACTACATACTGATATACACCTGAACATCAGCAGGAGAGGACTCTTTAAAGTAGAGACACTACATACTGATATACACCTGAACATCAGCAACAGAGGACTCTTTAAAGTAGAGACACTACATACTAATATACACCTGAACAACGGCAGGAGAGTACTCTTTAAAGTAGAGCCACTAAATACTGATATACCTGAACATCAGCAGGAGAGGACTCTTTAAAGTAGAGACACTACATTCTGATATACACCTGAACATCAGCAGGAGAGGACTCTTTAAAGTAGAGACACTACATACTGATATACACCTGAACATCAGCAGGAGAGGACTCTTTAAAGTAGAGACACTACATACTGATATACACCTGAACATCAGCAGGAGAGGACTCTTTAAAGTAGAGACTATACTGATATACACCTGAAATACATCAGCAGGAGAGGACTCTTTAAAGTAGAGACACTACATACTGATATACCTGAACATCAGCAGGAGAGGACTCTTTAAAGTAGAGACACTACATACTGATATACACCTGAACATCAGCAGGAGAGGACTCTTTAAAGTAGAGACACTACATACTGATATACACCTGAACATCAGCAGGAGAGGACTCTTTAAAGTAGAGACATTACATACTGATATACACCTGAACATCAGCAGGAGAGGACTCTTTAAAGTAGAGACACTACATACTGATATACCTGAACATCAGCAGGAGAGGACTCTTTAAAGTAGAGACACTACATACTGATATACACCTGAACATCAGCAGGAGATGACTCTAGAGACACTAAATACTGATACTATAGGCCCCTTTAAGATATTTTGACAAATGTGCTCCACATTTAATAAATTGGATATTACCATTTCAATATTTCTTTATCGTCTTTTTTCTTTTGTCTTTCAGGGTTTATCTATCCTCCATCAGCAGAAATACCTCGAGCTCGTCATCGTTGTAGATAATCGCGCGGTAAGTAATACACATGGAATTTTACAGTGGAAAAACAGAAAAACAGGAAGTACTAGCAACACTTTTTTGTGAATGACTAAACTTGTATTTGTAATGATGGCAGCAGACACATCATGCTAACACTTTGGGACTATTTTGGTCTGATAAGCGTCACTTATATGGTTCTTTTGGTCGATGGGACTTTTATATTTCTGAAAAACAGGAAGTGATTATTCTTTCTAACATGACGACATTATGTTTCAGTTCCAGAAGAGAAACCGGGATCTGCAGAAGATTAGGGAGAGGACTTTTGAAATCGTCAACTTTGTTAACTTGGTGAGTCAACGCTTTCTGCTATTGCTGAGAAAGTGTATGAAATGACACATAAACAGATTTATTTTTATTCCAGGGGACAAAACCATAAAAAAAAAAAGAACTTAAAATAAAAATATGTATAAATAGAAAATAATACAAATGGGGCGAAGCCTGCGAGCTAGTTCAGGCAGTCAACTCGAGCACCAATCATACATTAACACGTGACGCACCTCGTCCCTCTAACAACCAACCAATCACATTCTCCTAAACATGCCGCTCTATTTAAGCTGCCAGGTCTTCCTGCCTCTGCCTCGCTATGCTGCTGCTGCCACTGCTGTGTTCACTTGCTATTGCTACGTTCATGTTGCTGGCTGCTGCTGTGTTTCATGTTGCTGCTGCTCGCCTGCCCCACCACCACCCCAGCATCCACCCCAGCTTCCACCTGTAGGCTCGATGGGTAGTTATCTAATCATCACTCAATGTTCTTCGTAAGTCTGTGGAGTGATGAGGCCCGAGCCTAGACGCCAAACTCAAACGATATGCTGCTTCTAATATTAATTAAGAAACACGTGAGTTGTCTGACTGACATATTTATATGAACATAAGAAGTTAAGTAAAAATCCGCACAAAGAAAATGCAATACAATTAAAATACTTATATGAACAAATCGAGTTATAGTAAATATGCAAATGTAGCACATAGTTAATAAGATGATGCTTCATTTGCATAATTAAACGTAACGTTTAAAAAATGTAATACAAAAAAGTATTGTCTTAAAGTCAGTGAGGAAGAGGGGAAGTTTCACGGTGATATCTGTTAGTTAAATGTTTTACCCTATTCACCTGTGATGCTTGTTTTCAGGCGTACAAGCCCCTGACGACCTTCGTTGCTCTGGTGGGTCTGGAGATCTGGTCCATCAAAGACCTGATCTCTGTGACCCCCCCGGCCGGAGCCAACCTGAACGCCTTCATGGGCTGGAGGAACTCTGACCTGGCCAAAAGGAAAAAGCACGACAACGCACATCTCATCAGGTCAGACCGGGTCTCAGATTTAAAGTCAAAGTCAACTGTACTGTCAATCTTTCAGTTTGTGTGTACAGAGAGATCGAAATACCGTTTCCCACAATCCCAAATACAAAAACAAATATATATAAAGATCTGTATGCAAATATGTTTATACCTATACACAATCAAAGACACATGTATACAAACACTCAATAATAACCAGAGACCTCTTTGACTTGAGAGTTTTTATCAAAAAATGCATACTTTACTCCAAGCCCAAGGACAAAAAAGTACATAGGCTATATACATTACCAATTAGTATTAGTATTAGAATTAATCCAGTATTTAGAAAAATATGCAATAAAGATACATACTTAAATAAATAGAACAATAATAAGTAAATACTTTATGAACAAATACCATTAATAATATCCATTTGTACAACTACATTATCAGCTATTGCCTGCAGACACAGACATTTCCATTAGCTGAACATGTACTTTAATAGCAAATGTTAGCATGCTAGCATGTTGGTAAGATGGTGAATACGGCCCGATAAACATTAGCATGTTAGCATTGTAGCATATAGCTCAGATCAAGTACATAATTATGACTGAAGACTTTTTATTCAATGAGTAACAAAAACTAAAGCAGCCAAGAAGTAAGACATCTAAATTAGCTGAACATGGACTTGTGCTTAGCGCTACACGGTATAGCAAATTTCAGCGTTGTTATTAGCATTTAGCACAGATCAAGCACAGAGTCATTAGCATGGCTTTAGACCTGTTATTCTATGAGTAACAACAGCTAAAGCAATCAACAAGTACAACAACAGAGATAGATGTGTGCCCCTTTTATTGAGAATGCTTAATAAGATGGTACAACTATATTATTACCAAATAGTGCTGTATTAGAACATTTTAGCATGCTAGCATGTTGGTAAGATTGGGAACAAAGCCTGCTAAACATTAGCATGTTAGCATTGTTATTGTTAGCATTTAGCGTAGTTCAAGCACAGAGTCACTAGCATGGCCTAAGACATTTACATTTTTGCAGTGCTCTAAGAAGCTACAAGCAAACAGAAAAGAACAACCATAATAAAAAACCTATGACTATGAGTAATAGAAACTAAAGCCACTAAGAAGTACAACAACTTGGTTTGTGTCCCTTTTATATTTCAGAACAAAATCAAATAACCATTCATTAAAATGTCATAATATACCAAGCAGCGTACACAATACCTCCTGCTTTAGGGCCACTTGCTGTTGGTCTCTTGGCAGAGAGATGGCATTGGGTGCGGCTTAATTGAGGCAATAAGTGAAGCGTTATCTACCTCAGGTTTCTCAACTGCCTTCCAGACACGTTTTATTTCACAAGTTTAACCACATTGGTGCATCCATCCTCTTCTCATTGTAGGTTTGTAACCTGCATGTATTTGCACATTGATATTCATTATTCGCTTCATCAGCAAAAAGGTTGTTGCCGCTAAATGCAGAGGACACACACACACACACACACACACACACACACACACACACACACACACACACACACACACACACACACACACACACACACACACACACACACACCCTTTCCTACAATAACATCTCTGAAACAATAGCCCTTAACACTGGATTCATGAGAAGGAGGCCAGTGAGATAACCTTGCTAAGCTGAAAAAACATGTACATGCAGGTTACTAAAAGCTGCCAAAGTTGATTAAAAAATACTCCATTAAAGAAGAGAAGAATCTTCTCTCTCCAAAAACCAAAACATTTTGCAACAGAGGCTTTAAAATATGACTTAAATACTCAGTTATAATGTCTCATTAAACCACTATAATGCCAGTTTAAATCCTGAACTCTGTCAAGTGGCCGTAATTACATGTTTACAGTCCATATTTAATGCAATATGCATTATTTTATGCTGCTGTACAGTATCTAAGTTTATATTCATTTTTATCTTATTCAAATTAACATGTATTTAGTTTACTTATTCCTGCTTGGTCCTCCATTTAACTTGCACCATTGTGTCAATTGCAGTACATTATTTCATTATTTCTGAAGTATCGTATTACGCATTGTTGGAAGACTTTGGGACTTTCCAAAACTTCCTGTTTAACAGCGAAAGGCACTTTTCGCCTCCACCCCAAAGCAAGTGCGTTCAATGGATACTGACATTTTAAATAACTTTAGATCCCCATGGTCTCAAGATGGCACTGACCAAATTTGAAGTTGATTCGATGAAAACTCAAGGAGGAGTTTGTTCAAATACGACACCAGTAAAGTGCAAAAATAACCCAAAACTGCACATGTAAATAAAAATGGCAAACTTCCTGTTGGGTTTACGATATGGCGCTAAGAGGCTTTTTTATGCGTCTCACCATGGTGCGTATAGCTACCAAATGTCAGACTTGTAGGTCAGACCTGAGCAAGGGGCTGAATTTAAGAAGCTTTATAGGAGGCGCTATGGAGCCCTTTTACCCACACCTCGAGAAAGATACCCTTAAAATATCAAATGTTTCAAAATTCCTGACAAGTTTACTGAAAAATATGGCATTTTGGAGCATGTTTAGGTCCTAAAAATTGCAAAGAATTGCTTCAACGGAAGAAATATTGTAGTAACTGTGGGCGTTACAATTAAGTCCAATAATTCCCCAAATGAGAGGCACAGAACTGCTGGCGTCGGCCATGTTTCCTGTAAAAAAATATGAATAGCTGATATTTAATATATAAATAGAGAACTTAGTGGATGGATGTGCATGATTCTCTAAACAGCGTACTAATGATTTGTGTCCTAATTCATTTATAAGTGTTTCTTATTTTGAAATGTCTTGTGTTGCAGTGGCATTGACTTTGAAGGATCCACGGTGGGACTGGCTTACATCGGGACTCTTTGCTCAGGTCACTCTGTTGGAGTCGTGCAGGTAAGACGAACATGACTTCACATCACCACCGCTAAGCTAAATGCAGCTAATGTTGGGCTATAAAGGAACTACAGCACGGTCACATGACTTCACGTCACCACCGCTAAGCTAAAGGCGGCTAATGTTGGGCAATAAAGGAACTACAGCACATGACTTCACATCACCACCACTAAGCTAAAGGTGGCTAATGTCCAACGTTAGGTAATCTCTAGACACTTTCAAGTGAAATATCTTGACACACAATATGATAGTTTGCCGTGTAATTTTGTTTATACATTCATGGTCCCCTCAGGATACATTTTTTTTTTAAATCCAATACATCATGACCAAACACCTGCAGAAAGAGACATATCCATTAGCCGAATATGTTCTTGTGTTTAGGGCTTTATAGCAAATGTGAGCATGCTAGCATCTTAGTAAGATTGTGAACACTGATACACATTAGCATGTTAGCGTTGTTATTGTTAGCATTTAGCTTAGCTCAAGCACTAGCATGGCTGTAGAATTTCTATTGTATGAGTAACAGAAACTGAAGCAGACTTTAACATCAAAACTAAATCAGACGCTTCTAATCCATTCTTTGAAATGTCATTAATAAGCCAACCAACTTATCTATCATCATCAAACCAAAACTCCAGCCCTCTATCGTTGCAAAGAGGAAGTCTGATGTCTGACATTTCTTCGACTGTGGTGCAGCCGACGTCTAGACTGTTGTCAGAAACAAGGAAGGAAAGGAATATTGAGGAAATAGATATTTCTATCACGAGTCAGCCTGCGTGCATTCATGCTTTAATCCAATGCTTCATTCAACCTGTTTCCTGGTTGGAATTTAATCAACCACTGTAACTATGCTGTTAATAATTATAATATACACATTTGTATATATTTATTTGGTACCACTTTACAATAAATCTACCCTTATAAAGGATTCATAAAGGGTTTATGATTGGGTTATTAATTAGGTTGTAAACACTTTATTAATAATTAAGAACCATTTATAAACCAGTTCAACATGGCTCACTATTTGGCAAGATGACTGAGCCTTATATTGGCTACTTAGCGAGAATCAACTCGGTGAGCAACAGATACCAAGGATGCTGGCTGATGAAGGAGACGAAGTAAGCTAGGTAGCCAATATATAAGACTTAACAGTACAGATAAATGTGGGCTCACTATTTGGCAAGCAACCGGTCACAGTTGCCCTGTTTATGTCTTATAAAAAGCGTATTAATGATTTATAAAGTGTTCACAACCTAATTAATAAATGAATTACAAACTATTCGTAAACCCTTTATAAGGGTAGTCTTATTGTAAAGTGGTACCCAAAACTCAATTCCCCCCCCAAGGATACATATAGTGTTTCGATTGTTAACAAGATATTAATATATTAGAGAAAATACACAAAGCACATCTTTGGTGAGATGGGAATAGCAGCACTGAATGGTAATGCTATACCTGATTAGTTTGGGTTAAAGTCAAAATATAAAAAGCTGAGTAACTAAATATATAATTGCGTCAGGATCACACGGAAAGGGCCATCGCAGTCGGGGCGACGCTGGCTCATGAGATGGGTCACAACCTGGGGATGAACCACGACGACTCCAGCGCCTGCCCCTGCTCTGGAGACAGCTGCATCATGGCTCCAGCACTCAGGTAACACAAATCTCTCTTAAAGTGGTGCGGGAATGAGTCCTAAAACCCTGAAATGAGTCAGCATTTTAGCACTTCCTGGGTTAGGGTTATAACATGTCTTTGGTTGTTATCCTGAAATAAGGTCTGTGGTTAACAGAAGCTGGATAGATTTTAACGTTTTGTTTTACGACATCTAATACATCAGTAAATACCCCACTGGTGAATTTAAAAACGGTGGTTGCTAACAAGTGTTTAAATGAGACGACTAAAAGTCATCACGTTTAACCACCTTTAGCTTAGCGGTGATGACGTGAAGTCATGTGACCGTGCTGTAGTTCCTTTATAGCCCAACATTAACCGCCTTTAGCTTAGCGGTGATGACGTGAAGTCATGTGACCGTGCTGTAGTTCCTTTATAGCCCAACATTAGCCACCTTTAGCTTAGCGGTGGTGATGTGAAGTCATGTGACCGTGCTGTAGTTCCTTTATAGCCCAACATTAGCCACCTTTAGCTTAGCGGTGGTGACGTGAAGTCATGTGACCGTGCTGTAGTTCCTTTATAGCCCAACATTAGCCACCTTTAGCTTAGCGGTGGTGACGTGAAGGTCATGTGACCTTCCTGTAGTTCCTTTATAGCCTAACATTAGCCACCTTTAGCTTAGCGGTGGTGACGTGAAGTAATGTGACCGTGCTGTAGTTCCTTTATAGCCTAACATTAGCCACCTTTAGCTTAGCGGTGGTGACGTGAAGTCATGTGACCGTGCTGTAGTTCCTTTATAGCCTAACATTAGCCACCTTTAGCTTAGCGGTGGTGACGTGAAGTCATGTGACCGTGCTGTAGTTCTTTATAGCCTAACATTAGCCACCTTTAGCTTAGCGGTGGTGACGTGAAGTCATGTGACCGTGCTGTAGTTCCTTTATAGCCTAACATTAGCCACCTTTAGCTTAGCGGTGGTGACGTGAAGTCATGTGACCGTGCTGTAGTTCCTTTATAGCCTAACATTAGCCACCTTTAGCTTAGCGGTGGTGACGTGAAGTCATGTGACCGTGCTGTAGTTCCTTTATAGCCCAACATTAGCCACCTTTAGCTTAGCGGTGGTGACGTGAAGTCATGTGACCTTCCTGTAGTTCCTTTATATCCCAACATTAGCCACCTTTAGCTTAGCGGTGGTGACGTGAAGTCATGTGACCGTGCTGTAGTTCCTTTATAGCCCAACATTAGCCACCTTTAGTGATGGTTAAAGGGATTTTTGTTTTAAGTTTTGCTTTAACATTTGTTCCTTGTTCCCTCAGCTACAATGTGCCTCGCACTTTCAGCGGCTGCAGCACCAACTTCTATGAGAAATATCTGACGGGCCGAAGCCCCGGCTGCCTGCTGGACAAACCGGACTACAAATCCCTGGTGACCCCGGGCGTCTGTGGGAACGGCTTTGTGGAGGCGGGGGAGCAATGTGACTGCGGCACTGTGGAGGTACGGGAATATACATCTGTTTTTCAATATGGCCTTGCTGCTTTTGTTTGGTTTTAATTAACTACATCAACAATGATCCAGTTCATAAGATTCAAAGATTCAAGAATCAAAGGTTTGTAATATGCTCATAAGCTACAGTTCTTCTGACCTGAGCTCCTCCAACAATGCAACATGTATAATACAAAATAGTTCAAAAAGTCTATATACATGTAACTAGAATATGATATGTACAAAAAACAGAATATGAATATAAATAATGTACATTAAAGGTGGGGTAGGTAAGTTTGAGAAACCGGCTCGATATCGCTAAAATTTGAAAATACACAGCCGGAAAAAATCTGCCACTTCCTCACAGAGCCCCTCCTCCAACACACACGAACGCGCACATGACCAATGAGGGCACGAGATAAGTTTGTGCACAGATGGAAGGCTGACAGGCAGGTAGACCATCCAGTTATTTTAGCCGGGCCGGCTAAAATGATTGGTCGTGCTTTTTACAGCGCCACGGCTTCCACAGATGATATTTTTTTATGTATTTTTTGTCAAAGCACTTCAGATATTCATTGCTATCGGGATGTTAAGAGCATTCCATGGAATATAACAACAAGTGTATCTCGAGCCGGTTTCTCAAACTTACCTACCCCACCTTTAAGACAAGATTAAATACTGACAAAAACAAAGTTAGATGAAGCGTAAGTTATCCGCTCACATAGATCCGAATAAATAGAAATGTTAAAAAACAACAACAAACTTTGACTTTTGGGGATCTTGCAGTAACAAAACTCCAGTTCAATTATTTGTAATACCTTGCAAAATGAGGTTAATAAGTCCATTTAACTCTCCTATTTAAGAGTGACGGTGTTGCACAAAATCTTACAAAATCTTAGGTCTATTAAGTAGGATGTTGTGCAACACCATCAAGGTTCAAGGTTCTTTATTGTCAATCTGACATAGCTACAGAGTAATTATGCAGTTGAAAATCTTATGTCACAGGCTTCTCCAACAATGCAACATAATAACATAACATAATAACAATAAGAGCATGAGCAATACAAAAATAATAATAGTTATAAAAATGAAATAAAGTTATGATGTGGAATAGTGCAGTATGAGTCTATATACAAGTTATTGGAATGATATATATATATTAGGTATTAGATACATACTACTGAGTAGCAGATGAATGTTTGATGTTGTTTCAACAGTTCAATTTTTTAACAGTCTCACTGCCCGCGGGAAGAAACTGTCTCCGAATCTTCTTGTCCTTGCCAGGATGCTGCGGTAACGTCTGCCAGACGGCAACAGAAAGAACAGTTTGTGGCTGGGGTGATGGGGGTCTTTGATAATCCGTAGTGATTTCTTCCTGAGCCGCTGGGAGGTAAAGGTCCCTCCATGGATGGCAGCTCCGTCCTGGTGATGTGCTGTGCAGTTTTCACCACCCTCTGTAAAGCCTTACGATCGAGGTCGGTGCAGCTGCCGTACCAGGCCGTCATGCTGCCAGTGAGGATACTCTCTATCGTGCACCTGTAGAAGTTGCAGAGTATCCTGGAATCCATTTTGAACCTCCTCAACCTGCGGAGGAAGAAGAGCCGCTGTCGAGCTTTCTTGGTGATGGTGGTGGTGTGAAGAGACCATGTCAGGTCCTCAGTGATGTGGACCCCAAGGAACCTGAAGCTTTTGACTCTCTCCACCGTAGTCCCATTGATGGCGATGGGGGCGTGTCCCTCTCCCTGCTGCTTCCTGTAGTCCACAATCAGCTCCTTTGTTTTGCTGATGTTGAGATGGAGGTTGTTATCCTGGCACCAAGATGTCAGGTTTTCGACCTCCTCTCTGTATGCCGTCTCGTCATCGTCTGTGATCTGGCCGATGACGGTCGTGTCATCAGCAAACTTCACGATGGTGTTGGAGCTGTGTGTGGCCATGCAGTCGTGGGTGAACAGGGAGTAGAGGAGAGGGCTGAGCACGCAGCCTTGAGGGGCACCGGTGTTTAGAATCAGGGTGGAGGATGTGATGTTTCCCAACCGCACTGCCTGGGGTCTGCCCGTCAGGAAGTTCAGGATCCAGTCACAGAGGGCGCTGTTGAGCCCGAGGTCTCTGAGCTTGATGGCCAGCTTGGAGGGCACAATGGTGTTGAATGCTGAACTGTAGTCAATGAACAGCATTCTCACATATGTGTTACTGTTCTTCGGGTCCAGGTGTGAGAGGGCAGTGTGGAGGGTGAGGGCTATGGCGTCGTCTGTGGACCTGTTTGCTCTGTAGGCAAACTGCAGGGGGTCCAGAGATTCAGGGAGGGAGGAGGTGATGAATAATTTGACTAACCGCTCAAAGCACTTCATTATGATGGAGGTGAGTGCTACTGGGCGGTAGTCGTTGGGGCAGGTGATGATTGTCTTTGGGGACAGGAATGATGGTGGAGTGTTTTAAAACATGTGGGGACTACAGACTGCAGCAGGGACCTGTTGAAGATGTCTGTGAACACCTCTGCCAGCTGAACTGCACACACCCTGAGAACACGGCCAGGGATGCCATCAGGTCCAGGAGCCTGTGTGGGTTAACCCTTTTAAAGGATTTACACACATCTGCCCTATTTAAAACAAAAGGGCAGTGTAGCTCCTGGTCCCTCTGCACCTCCACAGCCCGGCTGCTCTCAAAGCGTGCAAAAAAACTGTTTAGCTCATCTGGGAGAGATGCGCACGCAGACACTCCCGCAGCACCCCCCGCTGCTCCTTTGTAGTCAGTCATTGTCCTTAGTCCCGCCCACATATTCCTAGTGTTACAGCCTTTGAAGTCAGATTCCACCTTTTCTTTGTACTGTCTCTTTGCATTTTTAATTGCTCTCCGGAGATCATACCTAGACTTCCTGTACTCCTCCAAATCTCCCGCTGTGTGCGCGATAGTGCGCGCTTTCAGTTTGCCGCGCACCTCACCGTTTACCCAGGGCTTTTGATTTGGGAATGTCCGTACAGAAACCTTCGGTACCACGTCATCGATGCATTTCCCAATGTAGCAGATGACAGTGTCCGTGTGTGTGTTGATGTTATTGTCCTCAAACACACTCCAATCCGTGGATGCAAAGCAATCCTGCAGTGCCTCATCTGACTCCACGCTCCATCGTTGTACTGTCCTTGTTACCGGTCTGTCCCTTTTAAGTTTCTGCTTGTACGCAGGCAACAACAGTAGTGAGATATGGTCTGATTTGCCGAAGGGAGGGCGAGGGAGAGCCATATATCCATTCCGGAAAGGGGAATAAACATGGTCCAGTATGTTTCCCCCGCGCGTCGGGAAGTTGATGTGTTGGTAATATTTTGGCAAAACCTTCTTCATGTTGGCGGTGTTGAAATCTCCGGCCACAACGAACGCCGCATCTGGCCGTGAAGTCTCGGTTTTATCAATAATCCCAAACAGCTGATCGAGTGCCGTGTTGTGGTCGGCGAGTGGCTGCGGCGGGATATACACTGCTGTTATCACAACAGATGTGAATTCCCTCGGCAGATGGAAGGCCCGACATGAGATCATGAGGTGCTCTAGCTGTGCGGAACAGTCCGATGAAATAATCTTCACATCTGAGCACCAGTTGTTGTTAGTCATTACACACACACCGCCTCCCTTACTTTTCCCCGAGTTTGCAGTCCGGTCCTGACGAAAAATAGAGAATCCGTCCGGGACAATGGCGGAGTCCGGGATAGCGGGGTTGAGCCAAGTCTCAGTGAGAATTAACACGTTACAGTTCTTAATGTCCCGTTGAAAAGCAATCCGGCTTCTGAGTTCATCTAGCTTATTTTCAATGGATTGAACATTAGCCAGAAGAATACTCGGAAGAGGGGGCCGATTCTCTCGTTTCCTCAGTCTGACCAGCAACCCGGCCCGGCATCCCCGCTTTGTCTTCTTCTTGCGTCTCTCAGGTAGAACAGCAACAGGTAGCCATGGTGAATCTCCATTGTTTGTCGGAGGGTTATTATTGTCCACGAAGTTTCGCAATTGGAGAAGTTCCTCTCTGCTATATTGTATGGCAGAGTAGGTGCGGTCGGCTAGCATGTTGCGAACCATGTTAAAAGTAAAACGGCAAAAGTAAAAGAAATATGTACAAAAGACGAAAATGGGCAAAGCACATAGACGATGCGGCCATCTTCACCGGCGCATCTCTTTTTTCACTGTTAAATAGGAGAGATACATGGACTTATTTGAGTTCTGTTAGTGCAGGTTCCCCTTTAGTGTTTGTGTAACCTTTACTCTGCGTTGTTTTTGTGATATCTATCTAGCAAAACATGATTCAGCATGCACACGGCAAAAATGTGATCTGGAGAAATGAGACTACGAGAGTAGGACGTAGGATTTCATTTGAATTAAAAACATATTCGCTTCTCTAGCAAATATGAAATGATTTACGGTAGTGGTGTAAAGTAACTAAGTACATTTACTCAAGTACTGAACTTAAGTACAATGTAGGGGAACATGTACTTTACTTGAGTATTTCCATTTTATACTACTGTGTTCTTCTATTCCACTACAGTTCAGAGGTACATGGTGTACTTTGACTCCACTACATGTATTTAATGCCTTTAGTTACTTCACAGATGTGGATGAATGATGTGAAATATAATCAAGTGTTAAATCAGACTTTAGTTCCACCTGGAGTAAATCCACAAGCTACCCTGCAGTATACAAAGTCATTCAAACTAGCTGCACCTTTACCAGCTTTGAGAACACTTTCATGATCAATCATTATAAAACATATCATATATATTATTCTGAAATGGACCAATCTGCACAATCACTACTTTTACTGTCGCTACTTTCACTATATTTTGATGAGAATACTTTTCTACTTTCACTTGAGGAACATTTTGAATGCAGGACTTTTACTGAAACAGAGTATTCCTACACTCTGGTACTTCTACTTTTACTCAAGTACAAGATCTGAGTACTTCTACTTTAACTCAAGTACAAGATCTGAGTACTTCTACTTTGACTCAAGTACAAGATCTGAGTACTTCTACTTTGACTCAAGTACAAGATCTGAGTACTTCTACTTTGACTCAAGTACAAGATCTGAGTACTTCTACTTTTACTCAAGTACAAGATCTGAGTACTTCTACTTTAACTCAAGTACAAGACCTGAGTACTTCTACTTTTACTCAAGTACAAGATCTGAGTACTTCTACTTTGACTCAAGTACAAGATCTGAGTACTTCTACTTTAACTCAAGTACAAGACCTGAGTACTTCTACTTTTACTCAAGTACAAGATCTGAGTACTTCTACTTTAACTCAAGTACAAGACCTGAGTACTTCTACTTTTACTCAAGTACAAGATCTGAGTACTTCTACTTTAACTCAAGTACAAGATCTGAGTACTTCTACTTTGACTCAAGTACAAGATCTGAGTACTTCTACTTTGACTCAAGTACAAGATCTGAGTACTTCTACTTTGACTCAAGTACAAGATCTGAGTACTTCTACTTTGACTCAAGTACAAGATCTGAGTACTTCTACTTTGACTCAAGTACAAGACCTGAGTACTTCTACTTTTACTCAAGTACAAGATCTGAGTACTTCTACTTTTACTCAAGTACAAGATCTGAGTACTTCTACTTTTACTCAAGTACAATATCTGAGCACTTGATGCTCTGATCTGAGGCGTGTTGATACCTGTCGATGTTTTTCAAACCACACCAACATTTCTCCTCCGTCTGAACCCGACCCCTTCACGTTGTGGTTCTGACGGATAATTGGCCAACGTGCAGAAACATCTTTGAACTCTCCTAAAGATGTTCGGGTTGTATGGAGTGATGGCGTCTGCGTTCATTTTGCACTGAAGTTTAACAGTTATTTAATTTATATTTTTTATTTGGCGATTATCGTGAAAGGCTAAAGACGAGAAGTGAATCACAATATTTTCATATCCTGGGGGAACATTTGTTGCTCCAAATTTAGCGTTGAATGAATGATAGATAATACGTTTTTAAAAGCATTTATAGAAATATAGGAAATTAAAGTAAAATGTCCAATAATATATGAAATAAAATATAAATATATATATATATATATAAATATATATATATATAAACCTAAGAAGTGAAAGTATGAATGTGCAAAAAAGAGAAAAATCATAATAAATAATTGAAAATAAACATAAAATAATCAAATAAAATGTTCAATAAAGGAAAAATAAAAATGGAATAAAAGTGTTGTATAAACATAACAACATAAAGTTCAAATGTGTAATTAAAATGCATAAAATAAGTCAAAACGTGCACATTGTACTGTATGACATATTTATCACAATATTTATGTATGAGTATTAATACAGAAATGCTGAATTGCACAGGTTAAAGTGAAGTGTTTAAAGTTACACAAGTGACTGATATACAAACTGTTTTTCTTCTGATGCATTTTACACTTTAACCGCCTTATCATTTCACCACGAGTTATTTTCTCATTTACATTCCTGAGTCTCTGTTCAGACCTGCTGCTTTTCAACACACACACACACACACACACACGCACGCACACACACACACACACACACACACACACACGCACGCACGCACACGCACGCACACACACACACGCACGCACGCACGCACGCACGCACGCACACACACACACACACACACACACACACACACACGTTACATCAACAACAGAGTCTTTCAACAACTGCAGACAGAAGAAGAAATAGTGATGCAATAATACAAAATGAGGATGTACTTATAACAACACATAATAAGCTGTTTACATTACACTTAAATGAGAACACAGAGAAGTTTAACACAACAAGACAAAGAGAAGGATTACGCATCACATAACCTTCTCTATTTCACTTCCATATTTCCTAATGCCTTTATGAATTGTTTGTTGCATTGTTATTGGATCCTGTGGATTCAGATTCTCATCAACAAAATGCTGCAGCTCTTGACAAACAACACGTTTCTGTTTACAGGAGTGCATGAACCCGTGCTGCAACGCCACCACCTGCAGGCTGAAGGAGGGAGTGCAGTGTGCAGAGGGGGGGTGCTGCGAGGAGTGCCAGGTGAGCAACATTAAAGGGGCCCTATTTCCCTCTCCTGTAGTGTGTTATATAGGTTTCAGTAAATCAGGGTGTCCAAACTTTTTCACGAGGGCCACAAACAGAAACATATATGAAGTTCTGGGCCAGAGGTTTATCGCCTCATATGCTAAGTTTGCTAAATCAATCAAATGTAGGTACATGATGCTTGTGAGTGTTGGCAGCTCGTCCCTTAAAACAGAATCCTCAGATTGATTATAATAAGGAGATATAGGAAGGGTCTATTTCAAGCTTGTTATGCAAATAAGTCATTGGGCTTTTTTCTTATCAACTAATATGTGTTAGAACATGTTTCCAACTTTAATTGACTGAATTGTTTTGAAAAGTATTCTTATTAATAACACATGAATACTACTGTGTAATATATGTTTACATTTATATTTAAGAAGTACAATATAAGACAAGCACAACGTTGTCATGTTGCCGTTGTTCAGCATGGAAACATTCATTAGCTAACAATGACATTATTGTTCTATTAATATAAAGGGAGGTCAGGTACTCTTTAAAACAGCTGCTAGTTATGGGTACTTTTTACTGAAGTACATTTCAAAGCCCTCTTTACTTTCACTTGAGTAAAGAAGTTTACTCAGTACTTCTACTTTTACCAGAGTATTTTTAAACACGAGTATCTGTACTTCTACTTGAGTACAGGATGTATGTACTTGTGCCCTCTCTGCTCCTCTCACCTGAGTCATGACCTCTCCTGTGACTCCGCCTCCTCTCACCTGAGTCATGACCTCTCCTGTGACTCCGCCTCCTCTCACCTGAGTCATGACCTCTCCTCTGACTCCGCCTCCTCTCACCTGAGTCATGACCTCTCCTTTGACTCCGCCTCCTCTCACCTGAGTCATGACCTCTCCTTTGACTCCGCCTCCTCTCACCTGAGTCATGACCTCTCCTTTGACTCCGCCTCCTCTCACCTGAGTCATGACCTCTCCTTTGACTCCGCCTCCTCTCACCTGAGTCATGACCTCTCCTTTGACTCCGCCTCCTCTCAGGTGTCTCCTCGCTCCCGGGAATGTCGCTCTAAGAAGGATGAGTGCGATCTTGCGGAGAACTGCGACGGGAAGAGCAACATCTGTCCTGAAGACGTGTTCGCAGTGAACGGGCTCCCGTGTGACGGAGATCTGGGTTTCTGCTTCAACGGTCGGTGTCCCCAGAGGATGGACCAGTGCGCCAAACTGTACGGAGCAAGTGAGTCCTTCCTCCTCCTACAGCGTGCAAGATACCTCAAAGTCAAAGTCAACTTTATTGTCAATCTTTCAGTTTGTGTGTTCAGACAGAGAGATCGAAATACTGTTTCCCACAATCCCGAAAACAAAAATACAAATACAAATATGTATTATTGATGAATTGTGATCTTCTCGCTCCCAGGAAAGAAACTTAAAATAATGAGACTAATGGAGTCTCTGAAAAGGTTAAAATGGGTACTTTAATTAAGTAACGTGGTTAAAGAACAAGCATAGGTAAGGAAGAGACAAAAGCCGATGTTGTCTCTCGGGAGGCTGCAGCGAAGACAAGAGAGCGTGTTGTCCTTTCCGATCTCCTTTATACTTTTCTCGTTCTCTCCCGCTGTGCAGATTGGGGGACCGCCGTCCTCGGTCTTCAATGTTCGACATCGCGTGAAACAGAGGATTTCGACATTCTGTATTCCTTGCTTACTTCCTTAAGCCTTTTCTCCTCCTTATCTCTTTCATGACTTTTTATTTAATGCTTTATAACAGCTGTAATAGTTCGTTTAGAAATCCTAGAAACACTTTTACAGCAGTTCTCAATTACGGTAACTCCTTCTGACGTCATAGCTACCCACGTATGTGAAAACACTTTACGATCAACTGTGCCTTCATTTAATATTCATCAGTAATAATATCTCGACGTCTATAGATGTAATGTTAAAGTCAGTAGGTTTTGGTGTGCAACACTCCATGTCATTTTTACTTCACATTCAGAAAACGTAGTATTAGCCACATGCTAACTGCTAACCGGATATGAAGGATTGTCAGAATAAAAGCTTGGCATTGAGATTTTATGAGAACTTCCGGGTTTTTTCACAATAAAACAGCTTTTAAACTGACGATATGTTTTAGACTAAATAATGCTATTAAACATTGATTTTAATTTCTAACAGTATAAAATATGTATATCCTATATACACAATCAACAGACACATTTATGCTGCAGGAAAAATGACTAAAAACAACAGAACTATGGTATATATTCAGAATCAGAATCAGATGTGTTGACAGGTACGTTTACACATACAAGGAATTTGCTTTGGTGTCTGGTGGTGCGGACATGAACAATCTAAAGAAATAAGTTGCAAAGTAGGTAAAAAAGAGAAATATATAAGGATAATAAAAAAAAAATGTTTTAAAGGTCCCATGTCATGCTTTTCTGGTTATTACCCGTCCCCTTGTGTGTTATGAAGGTTTTTCTGCATGTAAACGGTCTGCAGAGTCACAAACCCTCAAAGTACACCCTGTAGCGAGTAAAACTCTAACACAGAAAAGACCTGTCTATGCTGCCCCAGAACGCCTCGTTGGGGATTTCTCTTTTTCCATTGTTTGCTTCCTGGGTTCTGTGACGTGTGAACACCCAAATCAACAACAAATGACCGGATTGGCCCAAATGGACCAATCCGCGGAGCACCTCACACACCAGGATCCCTTGGCTAACTAACAGGGAGTCCCATTGACTTGCATAGAGCTCCCTGGTTGGTAATAGACGAGTTGGGATGGCGGAGAAATGCTCTCCGCAGACCCATTCTCACAGCCTTATAAACCTTTTTCTTACTCAATATCAAGCCACACTTATTGTTTTTACTTCGGCTGCGAGTGTTTGTGTGTGCTCAGGATGAGTTTCGCTTGTTCTCGCTGTATTGCCGACCCGGAAATCTGTCCACTGTGGGAATTGTAGTCCTTTAAGGCCCAGACACACCAAGCTGACACCAAAGAACACGTCCCGACGGACCCGACTGTTGTGTCGCCTCACGTCTCCTGCGTCTTGGCCAAACAGTCGCACTGGAACACATCGCAAAGACTTCAGCCGACGGCCAAGGAGCACGTACGCACTGCGCATGCGTGAGTGGCAATAACTCTCCTTACCAGCAGGCGGCGGTAGTGTGTATTCGTCATTCAAAAGAGGCAACCGGAAGACAGACTGCGTTAGATATACAAACAACAAATAGCGTGCGTTCCATTTTCACTCTCGTCCATCGAAAACATGTTTAGTGCGGTACTGGCGGTATCAGCCCTTGGACTGTTGCTTGTGGAAGCAGATAGATGAAAATGAAAAATAATGTCCGTCTGTGTGTGCCTTCTTAATCGTTTGTTTGCGTACCTCGCTTCTCGTGCACTGATTCGCTAAGCTGAACTGCCAATCAGAGTGACAGCCTTTTGCCGACAGCCTCCCGATTCAACATGACGAATCGGGGGCGGAAGGTGTCGGCACGGCCGAAAAGACACGACGGTGCGGGACACACCAATCTGAGTTGGGCGACAGGACACTCATCGACGGCCAGACATCTATCTGCTTGGTGTGTCAGTGCCTCTATACGTACTTGACTACAGACGTCACGATTAGGTGGCCCTATTTATAAACAAAAATACTGGCTCCAACATATGGTGTATATTTTGCAAAAGAGAACAAGAAAAAGGAAATAAAAAATTATAAAAAATCTGCCAAAAATGAAATATAAAATTCTCTCTTCTGTAATATTCACCCAATAACCCCGTCTCTTTTAGAGGAGCCTTGTATGAACTACCACATTACATCTTTGACCCTTTTAGAAAAAAGGATGGAGGGGTATATTGCTATAGAGGGTTATTTGATCTCATTGCAACACAAATAGAATGGATGTTTCCACACTACCTTCTCTACAAGAAATATAAATGCTTACCACTTTCTTTGATGGAAGCTAACTTTGGCCTTTCAGCTCGCAGCCACTACAGGCACCTCACGTTCTGCAATGCTGTACAAAATAAGTATAGGCTATGAGATAAAACACTAACTCCTCTCTTGTCTGCAGGTGCTATCGAGGCCGGAGCGTTCTGCTATAGGTACAACACCAGAGGACTATACTGGTCCTTCTGCAAGAGGACCGCCAACGACCGGTTCATCCCCTGCCAGAGAGAGTGAGTCTCACAGAAGCATTAAAGGTCCCCTATTATACTGTTCTTCATCAATATATCACAGCTCTCAGATATATACAGAGCCTGTCTCTGATTGGCTGAAACACCAAACAGATCATTGCAGCATCCCATAATCCCCTCTGTTTCAGCCCTGTTTCAAAAGTGCTGATTCTCTGTCTGTTAATTTAGTCCTGATGCTCTTCTAGGTAATCATACATCCTGTCATGTACACAGCTACAGTTGGGATACCTTTGTTATCATGTTACTCTCATATACTGTAGAGGACGTTCAGTATTTTTCTAACAGTTTCTGTCCCCTCTTTGTCTTCAGAGATATCTTCTGTGGGAAGCTGTTCTGTGAGGGCGGCAGCGGCAACCCCAACTACGGCCGGATGGTCAAAGTCGGGAACTGCAAGGCGGCGTTTTTTGGAGATTTCACCAAAGACTACGGCCAGGTGGACACGGGGACCAGATGCGGGGAAGGAAAGGTAACATGCTCTTTAGATTTTTGACGTAACATGCACCAAAAACACATCTTTAGACACTTGTTACGCTGCTATGGAAAGTGTTGCACTAACGCACTTTTCTAAAAGTCATTGAAGCAACTGTTATATTTTTATATAGTGATTGTTGTGATTTTTTTTATGTCTTAATGTGTGCATATATAAATGTGTCTGTTGATTGTGTATATTTATATTTGTATACATATTTTTATATATCTTTGTTTTTGTATTGGCTCATGACATGTCTTGTGCCATCAAAGCTCCAGCTCTCCTCATGTCTCTTTGAGTCCTGACTCTCCATTGCTACAGAAGTTTCCCCCACATTAGTGTGTTGCTGCTAAATGCTGAACACAGTAAATACAGCGCCAGTAAAGCGTCTAATAATTAATCAATTCAAAAAGAACTAATCAACTTAAAAGGTAATCGACCCACACTCTAACAAGGATTTAAGTCTCTGGGTTTTACTATTGTTAAACGTGATTAAAGTGAGTCATTACACAAAGCACTAGACAGCTTTCAGACAACGTTAGCTATAGTTTCTGTTTCCAACTTCACTCAAAGGTCCCCTATTACTCAAAATCCTCTTCTTCATGTCTCTTCTACATCAACATGTGTCCCCTCTTCTTCATGTCTCTTCTACATCAACATGTGTCCCCTCTTCTTCATGTCTCTTCTACATCAACATGTGTCCCCTCTTCTTCATGTCTCTTCTACATCAACATGTGTCCCCTCTTCTTCATGTCTCTTCTACATCAACATGTGTCCCCTCTTCTTCATGTCTCTTCTTCATCAACATGTGTCCCCTCTTCTTCATGTCTCTTCTACATCAACATGTGTCCCCTCTTCTTCATGTCTCTTCTTCATCAACATGTGTCCCCTCTTCTTCATGTCTCTTCTACATCAACATGTGTCCCCTCTTCTTCATGTCTCTTCTTCATCAACATGTGTCCCCTCTTCTTCATGTCTCTTCTACATCAACATGTGTCCCCTCTTCTTCATGTCTCTTCTACATCAACATGTGTCCCCTCTTCTTCATGTCTCTTCTACATCAACATGTGTCCTCTCTTCTTCATGTCTATTCTACATCAACATGTGTCCCCTCTTCTTCATGTCTCTTCTACATCAACATGTGTCCCCTCTTCTTCATGTCTCTTCTACATCAACATGTGTCCCCTCTTCTTCATGTCTCTTCTACATCAACATGTGTCCCCTCTTCTTCATGTCTCTTCTACATCAACATGTGTCCCCTCTTCTTCACGTCTCTTCTACATCAACATGTGTCCCCTCTTCTTCATGTCTCTTCTACATCAACATGTGTCCCCTCTTCTTCACGTCTCTTCTACATCAACATGTGTCCCCTCTTCTTCATGTCTCTTCTACATCAACATGTGTCCCCTCTTCTTCATGTCTCTTCTACATCAACATGTGTCCCCTCTTCTTCATGTCTCTTCTACATCAACATGTGTCCCCTCTTCTTCATGTCTCTTCTACATCAACATGTGTCCTCTCTTCTTCATGTCTATTCTACATCAACATGTGTCCCCTCTTCTTCATGTCTCCTCTACATCAACATGTGTCCCCTCTTCTTCATGTCTCTTCTACATCAACATGTGTCCCCTCTTCTTCATGTCTCTTCTTCATCAACATGTGTCCCCTCTTCTTCATGTCTCTTCTACATCAACATGTGTCCCCTCTTCTTCATGTCTCTTCTTCATCAACATGTGTCCCCTCTTCTTCATGTCTCTTCTACATCAACATGTGTCCCCTCTTCTTCATGTCTCTTCTTCATCAACATGTGTCCCCTCTTCTTCATGTCTCTTCTACATCAACATGTGCCCCCTCTTCTTCATGTCTCTTCTACATCAACATGTGTCCCCTCTTCTTCATGTCTCTTCTACATCAACATGTGTCCTCTCTTCTTCATGTCTATTCTACATCAACATGTGTCCCCTCTTCTTCATGTCTCTTCTACATCAACATGTGTCCCCTCTTCTTCATGTCTCTTCTACATCAACATGTGTCCCCTCTTCTTCATGTCTCTTCTACATCAACATGTGTCCCCTCTTCTTCATGTCTCTTCTACATCAACATGTGTCCCCTCTTCTTCACGTCTCTTCTACATCAACATGTGTCCCCTCTTCTTCATGTCTCTTCTACATCAACATGTGTCCCCTCTTCTTCACGTCTCTTCTACATCAACATGTGTCCCCTCTTCTTCATGTCTCTTCTACATCAACATGTGTCCCCTCTTCTTCATGTCTCTTCTACATCAACATGTGTCCCCTCTTCTTCATGTCTCTTCTACATCAACATGTGTCCCCTCTTCTTCATGTCTCTTCTTCATCAACATGTGTCCCCTCTTCTACATCAACATGTGTCCCCTCTTCTTCAAGTCTCTTCTACATCAACATGTGTCCCCTCTTCTTCATGTCTCTTCTACATCAACATGTGTCCCCTCTTCTTCATGTCTCTTCTACATCAACATGTGTACCCTCTTCTTCATGTCTCTTCTACATCAACATGTGTCCCCTCTTCTTCATGTCTCTTCTACATCAACATGTGTCCCCTCTTCTTCATGTCTCTTCTTCATCAACATGTGTCCCCTCTTCTTCATGTCTCTTCTACATCAACATGTGTCCCCTCTTCTTCATGTCTCTTCTACATCAACATGTGTCCCCTCTTCTTCATGTCTCTTCTACATCAAAATGTGTCCCCTCTTCTTCATGTCTCTTCTACATCAACATGTGTCCCCTCTTCTTCATGTCTCTTCTACATCAACATGTGTCCCCTCTTCTTCATGTCTCTTCTACATCAACATGTGTCCCCTCTTCTTCATGTCTCTTCTACATCAACATGTGTCCCCTCTTCTTCATGTCTCTTCTACATCAACATGTGTCCCCTCTTCTTCATGTCTCTTCTACATCAACATGTGTCCCCTCTGTGTAAAGAGACTCTGAAAGTCTCAGGAACAAAGACCCCTCTCTTTTTGTCCTGATCCATCTCTCTAAAAACCTGAAGATTGACCTCTTCATGCTCATGTTTTAATAATAAAATCTACAATCAAAGTAATATATTTCCACTTTCTCTCCAGGTGTGCAGTCAGAACGAGTGCGTGGAGCTTCAGACGGCGTACAGAAACACAAACTGTTCAGCCAAATGCCAAGGACACGCTGTGAGTAAACACCAACACTGATCAGACTGTTTGTTGTTGTTTAGGTGAACATACTGTGTACAGGAAGTAGAGGCATTCACCGTGACTTCAATTTGGGGTTTTTGGTCGTCACCGTCTTGGTTTATTGGAACTAGAAGAGCCAAGTGCAACATTTTACTAAAAGATACATGTTCAGGCGACCGAACAGTAGAAACACAAGCGGTGAAAACATTATATATTTGCAAGACAGGAAAATGTTTTCGGAGGTTATAGATGAAGTGAAATGTAAAGAGATTTCCTCAAAGGTCTTCTATTCAAACAGAGCAGTCGCCCCCTGCTGGATGTGTCAGGGAATGCAGGGTTAAGGGTTCACTCTTTAGACGTGGAAGTTGCTGCTTTTAATGGAACAGAAAATAATGCATAAAAGCTTTAAAGTGCTGAAAACCACTAAGAAATAAATCATAATAATAAAAAATAAATTGAAGAAAATACCAAACAAGAGAAACCCAATGAGTAGGTGTGATGACAATGAAATAAAAATATAAACAAGTTGTTGCCTGTGATAAAATACAAAACAACAACAAGGAGAAAGACACAAAATACACATTTAATTAAAGTGGACCTATCATGCTATATTTGAATAATATAGTGTAGGACCATACCTATATAAGGCATATTTATACTTTTTTTTTTTTCAAAATACCAAACAGATCATGCATTTTAGCCATGCCTCATTTTGCTCAATTTGACCATTTCTAGCTCTGTTTTAGCAAGGGCTGATTCTGTGAGAACAGCACCACCTACTGGCCTGGCATATGTACTACAGCGTCTCCAGCGCTTTCGAACGGCAATGGCCGTGGCTGTCTCCTCCTGATTGGTGGAGTTGGCCCAATAGCCGTAGCGCCACCGTCCTGACGTCAGGACAGTGTTCAAATCTGGATCAGTTTTTATCAGATCCGTTGCAGCCCCTTTTTTAGAGATTTGGGTATGGAGGAAAATAGAGAGGGTTGTGTTTTCTGACACTTGGTGAGTTCCTTGGAACACCGGGGACACATATTCATGTATAAAAGACGTACAAAAGTGCATTTTGCATGATAGGTCCCCTTTAAATTTTGTCTCAACAAATTAGTGAACACAGGAAGAGACCGTGCTGCAATACATTAAATGTGATCTACACATTGGTGTGGATTACTGAGTTTATCTTAAAACAAATGCTAAGAAAGTGTACTAAATCAGGCTGTAAGCAAATACAAAAACCTGTTTCATTTTATTTTTGGAAATGGGGGGAGTCATGGGGGTGAAAGTGGCCGCTTCAACGATATTAAATGATTTGACTTAAGGGTCAATTAAACGGTAATAAAGAGTGAAATGTGTTAAACACGGCTGCTCCTTCAGAGTGCCATTAATAATAATAATAATTCATTCTATTTAGAGGCGCCTTTCAAAGCACCCAAGGACACCTTACAATTCATAAAATATTCGAAGGAAAGGTTTAAGACAGTACAAAAGGAGCGTAACAGGGAACATGAAGCACTACATTGAACAACACATGATAACAACAGGGTTCATTGTGTGTCCTCAGGTGTGTAACCACAGGAGTGAGTGTCAGTGTGAGGCCGGCTGGATGCCTCCTCGCTGCTCCTCCAAAGAGGCCTCGGAGGGTCTCTCTACAGGTGAGGCTACCTGCCGTTACTCTCTGCTTTCTGCACGGCCAATATTGAATTTGCACTGAAATGTAATGCTGGATTTAAAGGTCACCAAAATCCACATGTCTCTTCTACATCAACATGTGTCCCCTCTTCTTCATGTCTCTTCTACATCAACATGTGTCCCCTCTTCTTCATGTCTCTTCTACATCAACATGTGTCCCCTCTTCTTTATGTCTCTTCTACATCAACATGTGTCCCCTCTTCTTCGTGTCTCTTCTACATCAACATGTGTCCCCTCTTCTTCATGTCTCTTCTACATCAACATGTGTCCCCTCTTCTTCGTGTCTCTTCTACATCAACATGTGTCCCCTCTTCTTCATGTCTCTTCTACATCAACATGTGTCCCCTCTTCTTCATGTCTCTTCTACATCAACATGTGTCCCCTCTTCCTCATGTCTCTTCTACATCAACATGTGTCCCCTCTTCTTCATGTCTCTTCTACATCAACATGTGTCCCCTCTTCTTCATGTCTCTTCTACATCAACATGTGTCCCCTCTTCTTCATGTCTCTTCTACATCAACATGTGTCCCCTCTTCTTCATGTCTCTTCTTCATCAACATGTGTCCCCTCTGTGTAAAGAGACTCTGAAAGTTTCAGGAACAAAGATTCTCTCTCTTTTTGTCCTGATCCATTTTTATAAAGACCTGTCTGAAAATGAGCTGATCAGATTTTGGCCACTTTGTGATGTCATAACGATGTTTTGTCTTGTGTAACCATTAGCCAATCAGCAACCAAGGTAACCCCCCCCCCCACCTTATCACCTGAATCTCCTCCTAGAGCACCATTGAGTTCTTTGTAACCAAATCTCTCTCAGAGGGGCGTGGGGAGGGGCTCCTTATTTTCATCTAAAGTAACAGACAGAGAATCAGCACTTTGGAAACAGGGCTGAAATCTTATCTTATCCAATTCAATCTGCTTTCCCTTTCTGCAGGAGCCACGGTGGCCATCGCTCTGACGGTGATTTTAGTGGTTTTAGGCGTGATTGCTGGAGTGATCGGATTCATCTGTAAGAAACGACAAAGTCCCATGTTGCCAACGTGAGTAAATACACAATATTTCAGATTGTAGTGAGGCTTTTATGCTGAAAGTCACCTTTACAATCTCTTGTTTTCTAACAGTTCACACACGCAGAGGAAGCTGCCAACGATGCTCAGTCAACAGACTACAGTGCAGGTAATGCTGGGAAACCCCCACCATGAAGATGGTTTTATGTTGGATGTTTTGCAGCAGCTTAAAACAACTCAATACATAAATAACAATATTTACATTTTAGGTTGTAAGGCCCAAACCCAAAGGAGCTCCACCGCCCCCCCCTCCAGCCGGAAACAGACCCAAACCCCCGGGACAGAACTACAGCGCTGCTCGCCAGGTACTGATCATACTGCAATATATAATACATAATAACTGCATAAGAAAGTCATATTAAAGTACGTTCAACAAAAGTCCTAGTATAATATGTCCAAATATTTACAACATGTCATAAAATAGTATGTTGTAAACAGTAACTGTACAGTATGTTGAATGGTTTCATTAAAAGTCATGGTATGTCGAACAAAGTGATGGTATAGTAGGACCAAAATAGTCATAAGGCGCATTCACACCGGAGTACTTTTCTCGTTTAGTTCCGATAGTTCCTGGGATTTTGCGTTCACACCAAAAAGAGAACTTAGTTCATGAGAACTTTTCCCCCCTTTTTAGTCCGTGCTAGAGAGCAGGTACTTTCCTGGGGAGAAAAAAGTTCCAATGTCTGATTGGCTGGGCGAATTGCAAACCACGGCCCGTAAAAATCTGAAAAGTTTTGTGAAGCCGCATTGTATTTTCTGGCATTAGCATTTTCTGGCATTAGCATTATTAGCATTAGCATTAGCCCCGTGCACCAACGGAGAGAGAATAACTTATGGCAACACAAAAAAAAACATGGGAGCGGTGGAGATGAGGAGGTGTCGGCGTTCTGGCGATTGACTCGGAAGGCTTCAGTAGAAACTGCTGGGAGTCCCAGCAGCTTCTACTGGTACTTGGTGTGAAAGCGGCTATAGTACAGTATGTTGAAATAAAGTAATAGCCTAAAAAAGTCATAGTATGATGTCAAATTATTTTTGTTATATAGTCGAAAAAGTTTGAATATAATACGCTGTAAAAAAAGTTATGGAATAGTATTTTTAAAAAAATCATAGTTTAGTATGTCAGAAAATAGTCATAGTGTCATATGTTGTAAAAAGTCATTGTATAGTATGTTAAAAGAAAGTAAGGGTACAGTATGACGAAATAAAAGTGATAGTATAGTAGGACCAACATATTCATAGAAATAAATGTAGAAATAAATTAAGGGTATATTATCTCAAAATTCATGTTTAAAAAGTAATAATATGCAAAAAAATTATAATAGTTTAGAATATCAAATGTTTTCATTAAAAAAGTCATTTGTTGAAAATGTGTCTAAAAAGTCACATTAAAGAGTAGAGTCTGTCGATGCCTTCTTTAGTGAATGAATGAATGTGTTTTTTGTTTTTCCTGCAGGCTCTGAGGCCGGTCCCTCCTCCTAAAGTCTGAAGTCGGACACTGTGCCAGGTCCTGCTGAGACTCACCTTCAACCCAAAGAGAAACTGAGGGGTTTTCATTAAACTTGTCGTGTCTCGGCCTTTTCCTCTGCAGCGTGACGGAGATTCTGGACTTGAACTCTTCTCCTGAACGCCGTGCGCTGATGATTTGAGATTACAGGGAAGAACTGCACTTTGTTGTTAAACCACAGGGTGCAAACAGCCCTGAACGTGAGCCATACCGTTTTATATCTGTTGTTTTCACGATAAGACTGAATGTTATTGTCAAACAGTTTCCAGCAATATTTTTTACAGTGTATTTTTAAACTGCTTTGTAATAATGGTCATGCTTTTATGGTGCAATGTGTAAAACGACTAACAACCCAAATGAAATACTGATTATTAGTAGGCCACTGAATTCACACTGCCACTGAAACATGCTACACATCAGCCTGCTTTGTTGAATCTCAATTGTTCAAAATTCTGAATAACGAGGGAAAGAAATGTGAGAAATGTCTTTGTTATATAAAATACAGAATCTCCGTCAGTTGATATGGATTTAAAGAACAGTATTAAGACAAAACTCAACAAGATAAGGTTATTTTCCAATTAAATAATGTCCTTTTCAGCATACACATTGGTCTCAGTTGTATATGTCTTGTTATGTTTCTTAAAAAGGGAGCATTGATGTTTTGCATTACTAATAACATGTCTGTAAATAGTGAACAAAGGGCAAATATTACACAGACCATGAGCATTATGGTGCGTTCACATCGGACATGATGCGATTTTTGTGCGCGTTGTGATTACATGTAAAGTCAATGTAAAGAAGCGGATAGACTGATAGACTAATTGATATGTATTGATATATCTTATAAGATCAGCGCCACAGTATTGACCTCATACTATATTTTATCTATTTTAAAACCCTGAATACTAATACTAGTCTGCAGGCATTAGTAATTCCTGACGTTTTAATTTGTTTTCAAATACAAAAATTGTATGATTTGACACCAAGATGATTTATTTTTAAGTGAGTGAAAGTGATTACCCAGCCATCATTGGTGGCTATCTTGGGATCTTGAGTGGGTACCTGACTTTTTCTAAAGAGTAACGTCAATGTTGGCTAATGATAGTCCTTGTTTCCACTTTTGAAATATTTCCCTGGTGTGTACAAATATCACCAGCAATACTCCATCAGATTCAGCCGTTAGCCGTTAGCTGTTAGAGGTTAGCCATTAGCGGTTAGCACACAGAGCTCACAGCTCCTCATATCTGTTCAGAAACTGGAGGAAAGATTTACATTTTCAAACCACAGACTGTTTATGAGAATGTGAATACAGTCGCTGCTTTATTTCTGTCTGTATAACGTTGTTGTGAGTGTGGACGGAGCAGCTACAACGTTAGCTTAGCATGATCGATCCGATCTCCATTAAAAAAACGTATTTTAAAAGTGTTTCACATGCTGTCTTGTGTGTGCACTTATCAAAGCATTAATTCATGGTTTTTAGAAACTGGTATCATTATGTTGTTAGTTCTGCATGATCTTGAAACGTGTATTACAATTAAATCACGGTAAAATATTCATTTTGTTGTAGTTGGTACCATAATACCTACATGGAGATAAGCCCCTTGAACGCACCATTACTGTATTACTAAAGCCAATATCTGTAAAAAACAAAATGCTGTTTCTTATCCTCGTTAAAAAGACTGTAACGCAGGCAATGATGATGATGATGATGATGATGATGATGATGATGATGATGATGATGATGGTAGAAATCCTGTGACTGAATATTTTGTCTATGATGTTTTGAAACGCTTAATGTAAATTAATAATGGCAATAAACTGTATTTTGTACAAAAGTGTTGTGTGTGTATAAGACAGAGTAAATGTTAAAGCTGCAACAACACATCTGTCTCAACAAGTCCTCCAAAAAATGACCAAATAGGTTGATTGTTCAACAACTCATTACGACCTATAGTCACGTTTTAAAGTTTAGCACCTCTAGTGGTCGTGTAAAAAACAACAATTTGCAGCATATGGGCTGATGCTCCCGTTGACTGCAAACACTCCGGAGGGTCGTTATTCACAAATAACCCTCTCTGGAAAATCCTAAATTGTAGGATAGTTTGGCCATTAAAATGCTTTTTGATTAGAGTTCTAGCGCAAAGTGTATATTGTACTTTTAGAATCCACGTCCAGTGGATGTGTAGGATCTATAGTTTGATAGATATTACGAAGATTATTTGAGGTCTCGCCAGGAGAACGTGTATATACTGCGTCTTTCCCCCTATTCCTTTCTATTGAAGGCAGCGTCCATGTAAAGTTAGCGTCAACCCTCAAGGGGTGAAAACAGTATTTCCGGTCTCGAAGTTGTCATAATAAAACCGTATTCCCCTCACTGTCAATTGATTTTACAGTGATATCTGCCAGTACTCATCCACTAAAAAACATCAGTTTATCCTCGTTAATTACACGAAATTGATTGGTTTAAATTGTGTACAATGCTTTTGTGTTTTTCCCATAGGTTTTTTCCCTTTCCCTTTCAATAGCTTACCATTAAATGATGGATATACCTTTCTGTCTGTGATGTTTTACAAATCAGATATTAATGTGTAGAACTACAATATGTGAAATAATATAGCAATATCCTGCAAAAATATGTGAAAACATGAATAAAACTACACATCTCCAGATGTTATACATACATAAGTTTCCTACACTAATAATAAAAAGTTATTATGGCATTGTATGCTGTGTGTTATTTGTAACATCTTCAGAAACTACCTTTCCAACTCCTCAGTTGCCTGTCTTTGACTGTTACAGGTGTATACAGGTTCATGATACAATGCCTAAGCCTCAAATAGTCCACATTTTGCTTGATTATGATAATTACATAAGTGTAGAACTTGAAAAGTAATGGTAAAGTAATAGTTGTATTGTTGAGGTTGAGTCTCCAACCCTGAAAGTAACCCTGGGCTAAGGCTGTGTGGAGGAAATGGCTAAATGTAAACTTGGTCATAGGAGTAAACACAAAACATTGTTGGAGAGCCCTCAATCTGGAGAGTAACATCATGTCAGTTTGAAGATTATAAGCAGGTCGTGCTCTCAACTGTTAACATTTGAACATTGGCTTCAGTGAATTTTTAAGTGCGTGTCATTTTGTTACAGAAGGGACTACATACCACTTGACCTAAGCTATGTGAATATGCCTAACTGTAGAATCACCAAATTGGGGTGCTGTAAAATAGGGAGAAGAATGAAGTTCAGTCATTTAACAGTAGGCCCTGTGGACCAACGTAGCTATTACAATTTTTTTGTGAGACTGGGTTGGGAGCGACAGAGCTAGTCCCGGTTTCTTTCTCTGATAAATAAGATAAGGCTTTGCGTTGAACCTGATGAGTTCAGGAGGGTTTCTGAAGATGTGACAAATAAGGTAGACACAGCTGTCATTGCCACGAATGACCAAAAGGTGCCGCCAAAAACAGTGACCCTTTGGGCAACAGAATGTGTGCCATGACAATTAGTGTAGGACACTTGTGTATGTATAACATCTGAAAATGTGTAGTTTAATTCATGTTTTCACATATTTTTGCAGGATATTGCTATATTATTTCATATATTTTAGTTCTACACATTAATATCTAATTTGTAAAACATCACAGACAATCACCGAGCTTCAACCATAGCTGAGGATTATGGGTAATTACATGTTTTCGCCAATCAAAATGTCTGAAAAAAGAAATGTGTCTCTCAGAATCTAAAGGGAAAAACCTATGGGAAAAACACAAAAGCAGTGTAAATAATTTAAACCAATTAATGTTGTGTAATTAACAAAGATAAACTGATGTTTTTTAGTGGATGAGTACTGCAGATATCACTGTAACATCATTTGACAGTGAGGGGAATACTTCTGGTTTTACTATGAAAACTTCGAGACCGGAAATACTGTTTTCACCCCGTGAGGGTTGAGGCTAACTTTACATGGACGCTGTGGGGAAAGACCATAGACTGTATATATAAATGGACGTAGTGTCCGTGACGTCACCCATAGGTTTCTGCAGAGTTGCTGAGAAGCCCTTAGTAGGCGGAGTCGGCCACTAACGTCTCGACAGTGACGTCAGAGTCTAACTCCCGCTTGCTCCAGCCTGATTCAAATAAGGGAAAAGAGGCGGAGCCGAGGCGGCATAAGATAAGTCAGATATTTAAATGAAGAATACTCCACCAGGCAACGACACAACAAAGACGTCCGAGTTCAAGTTGTGTTCCCCGGATCAGCCTCGCAGCTGAGCCCCTGTAGCATCCTGGAGCTAACAGAGCTAACGGAGCTAGCAGAGAGACAGAAAGCTAGCCCTTATGAAACAAAAATATATTGTAATATATTGGTAAATATAATACAATATACTGGATCATACATTTCCATATATGGGAAAGTAGTCCTTATATTTTTAAATATATTGCAATATATGCATGGACCATGTATGGCTATATATTGATACATATAAAAAATATATATTGCAATGAAAACAAAAACTGCACAACATTTTTATATGTAATAGTTTTATTGAAACACTCATTTATCTTTCATGAGTTACACAAGTTTACATAAAATTGAACAGATATTCATTCAACAGTTATCTCATTTCATTTTGTATAGTTACCCACTTTATATATGAACATATGTTTGATGGTATATATTAAAAAAGTACAAATACTCCATTGTCCATTGAATAATGGAAAATAATATACAGTTTATAAATAAATACAGACACACACATATATGCACGCATATATATATGCATATATGCACGCATATATATATATATAAATATATGCATATATATATAAATATGCATATATATACACATATATATAAATATGCATATATATATTCACATATATATATATGCATATATGCACGCATATATGCATATATATATAAATATGCATATATATACACATATATATAAATATGCATATATATATTCACATATATATATATATGCATATATGCACGCATATATGCATATATATATAAATATGCATATATATACACATATATATAAATATGCATATATATATAGACATATATATATATGCATATATTTATATATATGCGTGCATATATGCATATATATATGCGTATATATATATGCATATATGCACGCATATATATATGCATATATGCACGCATATATATATATGCATATATATATATGCACATATATTTTCATTCTTGAATATACTATAATATACTTACTTCTTATTTCTATTTGTTTAATATATATGTTTATTTTGAAATTGGATATAACCCAGTACTGAGATATTCTTGGAAATTAAATGAGAATCCATAAAACAGCTTGCGTTTGGATTCTGGTACGGCCGACCGGCTATTTGGAGTGGAATGCAGCCCATCCACGGCAGACAGCCCAAACAGTAATCGAATGCGCCACTTCCGGCTGACAGTGGCTGACCTCCGTCTTCGCTAAAAATAACTCTCTAAAACGTGTTAACGTTCTCATTGGACACATTACGTGCCAGTGATCATCACCAATCAATCTCACAGATTTCGGGGAGCCCCCCCCCTCTCCAGTAATAGATTGATCTGATTGGCAGATTCAAATCTGCG